CCGTAGTGAGGAATCTGATGGCAGACACCTTTGTTCTTCTTCAGCATCGTGGTAGAGTGCAAAGCAAGTCCGGGAGGAAGAGAGGCAGGTCGTGAGGCTTCTTCATGGCAGAAACCTCTTCTTCATGAGGAATCTGTTGCCAGAAAACCTCATTTCTTCTTCATGACTGTAGGTCCCCATTCTATTCTTCTTCTCTTTCTGCCTACGTGACATCCCTGGGTGCTTGAGCAAGAGTCATGTGAATACCCCCCTGAGATGGCCATCTTCCTCGAGATAAGCCCACACAAAAGGCCGTTTCACGGCCATTAAGCTGCAGGTTATCTCTCTCCTGTTGCCCCTTTTCTTGTCCATCTGTGCCCCTCAGACAAAGGATTTCTCAACCCCTGCCCAGGACTTGCCTGAACTTGTTCATCTGTGTCCTAAGCAAGCTTGGAGACAATGATGCAAAAGAATAATCTCTTACACCCTCTCCTCCCACATCCCAGTGGAGTGGAGGAGAGAATTGGGAGGAAAAAAAAAAAGTGAACACAGTAGAACTCATGGGTCAAAAAAAACCTACTTAATAAAATACAGAAAAGGAAAAGGATACTAGTTATGACAACATATGTTTACAAACATATATGAATGTATATAACAAATGATGTACAGGCAATTACTTGCCACGCACCAATGAACACACAGCTAGCCCCCAGAGCAGTAGAAGAGACAGTTGAAGTACCACCACCTTCAAAATTCCCTCCAACATATGATGTCATATGTTATGATATATCCCTCTGACCAACTTTGGTCAGCTGTTCTAATTCTGATCCCTCCCATCTCCTTGGGCCTTTTGCTGCAAATGGCCTTGGCTCTGTACAACACTGCTTAGCAGCAATTGTGAATAACAGTATGCTGTCAACACTGTTTTCCTCCTAGAACCAAAACATAGAGAATCATACCAGACATTATAAAGAAAACAATTTCACCCTAGCTGAAAATTCAATAGAGTGGATATCTTATAGGAGAAACTGATACTGGTTGGTTCTCTAGTTGAACTGTGAGGTTTGTCACAGGATTGGAGAGACCACAGGTCTGGCTATGAGGGCTGTGGCACATGCAGGACCCATCTGTGTTACTTAGAAGATAGTTTTCCTAAGGCAAAAAAAAATTCATGTATGGCAGATATTACATAACGACAAAGGAAATCTTAAAAAGTCCACATGCGGAACTCTTGATGTTATTTAAGTTCACAGAATTTCATGGCAGTGTGTCTGTGGGTTTAATAATATTGTTGTACACATCAAGGAAAATAGTAAAACAGAGATGCCTAAAAACTTTTTAAATAAATAGGATTTTTTTTAACTTTACTACCACTACATTTATTTTAAACTTGAAAAGTTGACATTTCAATGAAAAAGAAAGATTTGATTTGTTTGCCATCCTTCTTACAAAGAAGTTTCTCCTCTGTTTACAAACTTTCAGATAAACACAAAGCATAATTCAAATAAATTTAATCATCTTTTATAAATGAAGATACATAAAACCTGTTTTCTCTCTGGGTTTTAAGTGTGCAAAATGACAAAATTTGGAAAGAAAGATCTCATCACTGATTCTTGGCTTCTATTCTTTCCATAGCTGGCTGCTGTAGAAAAGAGTGTGTTTTCAGAAGGCAAAAACTGACAGCAATCCGTAGGCTATGTTGGCAAGCAAGTTCACACTTGATCTTTACCAGTTGGTGCATCAAGCTGACAGTTAGCTAAAAATAAATTACA